TCAAAGCAAATAACATAAGATTTTCTCCAAGTGTCTTTATAATTTTATTTATTCTTGGCAGTGCTGGGTCTCTGTTGCTGCTTGGGCTTTTCTCTAGTTGCAGTGAACGGGGACTCCTCTAGTTGTGTGCCTGGGTTTCTCATTGTGTGGCCTCTCCTGTTACAGGGCACAGTCCATAGGGTGTGAGGGCTTCAGTAGCTGTGGCATGTGGCTCAGTGGTTTTGGTTCCCGTGTTGTAGAGTGCAGACTCAGTAGTTGTGGCACACAGGCTTAGTTGCTCTGTGGCATGTGGGATTCTCCTGGACCAGGGATTGAACCCATGTCTCCTGTACTGGCAGGTAGATTCTTTGCCACTGAGCCACCAGGAAAGCCCCCCAAGTGTCTTTCAATTGAAGAATGTGAGCTTACTGATACTGGTGACACTCTCCACGGCCAATTGGTAAAACCCTTTGGTTACCCAGAAGAGACATTCAGACTATAGTTTTGATGACTGAACTACAGGATAGCCAGAGCCAGATTTTCTTTTAGTTGCCTTTTTCTTTTTGGGGGGGACTGTGGCCATGCAGCATGTGGGATCTTAGTTCTCTGATGAGGGATTAAATTCACACCTCCTACAGAGGAAGCACTGAATCTTAACCACTGAACTGCCAGGCAAGTACCCCCGTTTTCTTGTGTTTTTTTTTTTTTTCTTTTATTCTCCTTTTTGGAGTATGGAGTTCACAGTCCTGTGGTTATGAGCAGTCCTCGGTGCCCCTACATATCTCAGTCCGCTTATCCAAAGTCTACCAATGTTCTTGTTTGCACAGATGGATCAGTTTCAGTGGAGCTGATAACATGGGACATACAAACATTCTCACAGATATAGTTCTCACCTGTGTCCTGATGTGTATTGATTTGTGTATGAGAACACCCAGAAATATAGGCACACCTGTTTTATTGTGCTTCACAGATAATGCATTTTTAAAAACAAATTGTACATTTATGGCAACACTGTGTCAAGCAAGTATATTGGCACCATTTTTCCTACAGCATTTGCTAACTTCATGTCTCTGTGTCACATTTTCGTAATTCTCGCATTATTGTGAACTGTTTCATTATTATTATATTTGTTAATCTGATCTGTGATCAGTGTATTTTAATGTTAAGTGCTCAGATGATGGTTAGCATTCTTTTAGCAATAAACTATTGAAAATTAAGGTTGTACATAATTTTAATATATAATACTATTGTACACTTCAGTTCAGTTCAGTCACTCAGTCGTGTCTGACTCTGCGACCCCATGAGTCGCAGCATGCCAGGCCTTCTTGTCCATCACCAACTCCCAGAGTTTACTCAAACTCACGTCCATTGAGTTGGTGATGCCATCCAGCCATCTCATCCTCTGTCATCCCCTTTTCCCCCTAGACTACAATATAGTATAAACATAAATTTATTTGAACAGAGAAACAAAAAATTCACATAACTTTCTTTATTTTGTGATTTTCACATGATTGAGGTTGTCTGAAACCAAATCCAAAATATCTTTGAGTTCTGCCTGTACATACACGTGAGCCACATATGTACACAACACAACCTGCCTCTGTGCACAGAATGGCCCATGTGTATTATACAGATTAGGGTTTAAAATAAGGTACAAAATGTCCTGAGAAACCTGTATGCAGGTCAAGAAACAAGAGTTAGAACTGGACATGGAATAAAAGACTGGTTAAAAATTGGGAAAAGAGTACATCAAGGCTGTATATTGTTATCCTGTTTATTCAACTTATATATAAAGTACATCATGTGAAATGCTGGGCTGATTGAAGCTCAAGTTGGAATCAAGACTGCCATGAGAAATATCAATAAACTCAGTTATGTGTTATGCAGATGACACCAAACTTATGGCAGAAAGTGAAAAAGAATTAAAGACTGAAAGTGAAAGAGAAGAGTGAAAAAACTGGCTTAAAACTCAACATTTAACAAATGACAATCATGGCATCCAATATCAATAAACTCAGTTATGCGTTATGCAGATGACACCAAACTTATGGCAGAAAGTGAAAAAGAACTAAAGAGTGAAAGAGGAGAGTGAAAAAGCTGGCTTAAAACTCAACATTTAACAAACGACAATCATGGCATCCAATCCCATCACTTTGTGGCAAATAGATGGGGAAACAACGGAAACAGTGACAGACTATATTTTCTTGGGCTCCAGAATCCCTGTGGTCAGTGATTGCAGCTATGAAATTAAAAGATGCTTGCTCTTTGGAAGAAAAATCTATGACAAACCTAGACAGTGTGTTAAAAAGAAGAGATATTACTTTGCCAACAAAAGTCTATAAAATCAAAGCAGTAGTCATGTATGGATGTGAGTGTTGGACCATAAGGAAGGCTAGCACTGAAGAACTGATGCTTTTGAACTGTGGCGTTGAAGAAGACTCTTCAGAGTCACTTGGGCAGCAAGGAGATCAAACCAGTCAATCCTAAAGGAAATCAATCCTGAATATTCATTGGAAAAACTTATGCTGAAGCTGAAGCTCCAATACTTTGGCTACCTGATGAGAAGAGGCAATTCATTGGGAAAGACCTTGATGGGAAAGATTGAAGGCAGGAGGAGAAGGGGACGACAGAAGATGAGATGGTTGGATCGCATCACTGACTGACTCAATGGACATGAGTTTGAGCAAGCTCAGGGAGACGATGAAGGCCAGGGAGGCGTGACATGCTGTAGTCCATGGGGTCGCAAAGAATTGGACGTGACTGAGCGATTAAATAGCAACAACAAAGTCTCTTATAGACACTGTATTATCTTTGTAAGATAATAAAATTAGCTAAACCCAGTTTTTCTTATGTTTAATCTCTTTAAAGATAAATTCTGCTTTGAAATGCCATGATTGATTTGACAGACTAAGATGCGAAACTTTAGAGATTCAAATCAGAAAATATGATTCAAATCAGAAAATATGAAAATTTCCAAGAATTCTGATTATATTGCTCAGAAAGATTTAGTTGTTCCATTGAAAGCTATGAGTTTTAAAATTTTACTGATTTACAAATGATCAAAAGCATGTCTTACACCATCATCAATTCCAGATTCTAAATAGAGATGAAGTCATCTCTAGGGAAGCTTCCTTCAGGGAATTTGCAGTTGGGCTTCCCTGGTGGCTCAGATAGTAAAGAATCTGCCTGCAAGGCAGGAGATCTGGGTTTCTTCACTGGGTCAGGAAGATCCCTTGGAGTAGGAAATGGCAACCCGCTGTACTGTTCTTGCCTTGAGAGATCCATGAACAGAGGAGCCTGGCGGGCTACATTCCATGGGGTCACAAAGAGCCGGACAAGACTGAGTGCTCCCGGCTGGTGCACTGGGAAGACCCAGAGGGATGGGGTGGGGAGGGAGGTGGGAGGGGGGATCGGGATGGGGAATACATGTAAATCCATGGCTGACTCATGTCAATGTATGGCAAAAACCACTACAATATTGTAAAGTAATTAGCCTCCAACCAATAAAAATAAATGGAAAAAATAAAAAAATAAACCACATTATCTATCCACAAAAAAGAAGACTGAGTGACTAATACTTTCTTTCCCTTTCAAACTCATTGGTAAAAGAGGCCAATTTCTGCATACATATTTGAATGCAGTTTTATTCCTTACCAGCATTTAATCTGCACTGTATAGATTCTTTACCCTTATTGTTAGTCATTTAATTTCTCTCTGTTTTGGTATTAATAAATAGACTGGCATTTAAAAAATTAATTTTATTTAATTTAATTTTAATTAATTAATTTAATTTTAATTAATTTACTTTAATTTTAATTAATTTACTTTAATAGATCTATTTAATTAATAAATAGACATGTATTTTTATTTTTCCAAAATTCAATTGTAGGTATTAATTTTTTAATAAACTGCCTTTTGTACTGCTCTGATGAAAGGTCCCATGTAAATAGCAAATTTTCTTTCTGTTGTTTTTAATCTCATTATGTGCATTTTATCTATTTTATATTTTAAGTTGTTTCAAGATAAAGTATAATTAAGATATTTAATATCAGGAAGTGATTTCATTTTTCTACCAAATAACTCCTCTTAAAAGATTCCTGAGAAAGTGAGTACTTGTTTGTATATAACACTTGTGACTTGTTGACATATCTGTAAAATTACCCATGTAATTCTCAAGGTCAAATTACCCAAGCAGTAGGAATAAAGCTAATTTAAAAACTGACTTCTTATACACCACTTAGGAGACTGCTGTTTTTTCACTGCCAGCAGATTTTTTTTTATCTTCTTGCTTTATTTGTGAATATTAGTTAATTACACACATACATACACATGTATACACATACACCACACACAATATGTCTCCCCCTTTTAACCTACCATATAATGGATACTATGTGATAATCACAGAAAATAAACAATTTTTAGCATATTAAGCTTTCCTTCAGGGAAATCTGACTTCCCTGGTGGCTCAGACGGTAAAGTGTCTGCCTACAATGAAGGAGACCTGGGTTCGATCCCTGGGTTGGGAAGATCCTCTGGAGAAGGAAATGGCAACCCACTCGAGTACTCTTGCCCGGAAAATCCCATGGAGGAGCCTGGTAGGTTACAGTCCATGGGGTCGCAAAGAGTAGGACACGACTGAGTGACTTCACTTTCACTTCCAGGGAAATCTGAATAATACTACATAAATAAAACTGTAAGAAAGCATAAAAATCACTCACGTTTATATTACATATGCTTGGGTTGATGGTGGTCTCAACCAGGGACACTTGTAAATATCTGCCATTTTTGGTTGTTACAATTTGGGGGTTTCATCCATATTTAGTGGATAGATTTCATTGCTACTGTCAAACATCTTACAATATGCATGACAATCCCCAGACCCCCCAACAATGAATTATCTGGACCCAAATGTCACCAAGACCATGCTTGAGAAACTATAGACTACACTTCATATATAATAGAACTTTGAAAATTCATCTTCAACAATAAGGGTTTAATTGTCCTGGGTCTCTTTACAGCGTGGCATTGTGGGAAGAACAGGAGCTGGAAAAAGTTCCCTCATCACTGCTCTTTTTAGATTGTTGGAACCTGAAGAACCTGACATTTGGATTGATGGGATCTGGACCACCAACATTGGACTTCATGATTTAAGGAAGAAAATGTCAGTTGCATCTCAGGTATGCACATCAGAGCATTCTCACATGTTCTTTTAATAAAGTGTATAAGTTTAATTGCTTTTCGTTGGATTTTTATTTTTAAGTTACATGAAAGGGTTGATCCTTTTTTCCCCAATAGAGCACATTCTTAGCATCAGGTATTTTCAACAGACATTTTCATTGGAAACCACGTTTTGTTTCTTTGTTCATTCGTTAGTTTTGTGTGCATGTGGTTTAATAACTTACTGAGATAGATTTCTGGACTCAGTCTTCCTCAGTTACCATAATTTTATCCACTGATGATCACATAATTCTGACAATAAAATGATAAATGGCTTGTCTAGTGCTGGAGAGGTTCCTATAGGGAAACATGACTTTTAAGTGTTTTGCAGATGGAATTTTGCTGTGGGAAATGAGGACATCTTTTCAAAGGTGATTATCTCCTTGGAGGACTTTCTTTCTTTCTTTCTTTCTTTTTTAAATTTTTTTATTTTTTTGTCATTTATTTTCACTAGTTGGAGGCTAATTACTTTACAATATTGTAGTGGGTTTTGTCATACATTGACATGAATCAGCCATGGATTTACATGTATTCCCCATCCCGATCCCCCCTCCCACCTCCCTCTCTACCCAATCCCTTTGAGTCTTCCCAGTGCACCAGGCCTGAGCACTTGTTTCATGCATCCAACCTGGGCTGGTGATCTGTTTCACCCTAGATAATATACATGTTTCGATGCTGTTCTCTTGAAATATCCCACCCTCGCCTTCTCCCACAGAGTCCAAAAGTCTGTTCTGTACATCTGTGTCTCTTTTTCTGTTTTGCATATAGGGTTATCATTACCATCTTTCTAAATTCCATATATATGTGTTAGTATGCT